CACACACACACACACACACACACACACACACACACACACACACACAATCAGCTTTCCACATCCCTTTGAGCTCATGCCCCTCAGTTCAGTGGCCAATCCAGCACAAGTCGCATGAATATTGCAGAGGTGGTGTGATGTTGGCTGTGCCCTCTGGTTTTTATCACTTTGTGTGATTGGATGGAGAGGAGGAGGTTTAATGACACGTGCACGTTGTGACTGATGACTATCTGAAGATGTTCAACACTTTGGGAAACAYGCTCTCATCAGCATCCCACTCATGTCCGGTTCTTTAACAATATTCAGTCTCCTGCAACAACCTAAGCTAAGCTAAGTTATCACCATATAATACAGTAAGACTGGTGGGTCCAGACTCCCATTCAGCAAGTGTCAACCTGTTATATAAAACACTAAAGCATCAACGCTTGTCATTATTGCGTCGTTAGCTAGATTTACTCCTGCTGGACTCTGGTTGTTGCTTCTGAAACAACGTTGACGGTCAATATTAAGCCCCAAAAGAGGAATTTATGTCAAATAAAGTTTCAAGTATGACTCTCCAGCTCCAGTCTTTTATCCAGGCATGGTCACTTTGTATGGAAAAGAAAAAAAAGGAAGAAAGAGAGACTATAATGTGCAACAAAGATGGCTTCAAAGACTCTACTCCACAAATCACTTTTCTTTGCAATCTGGTGGTCATAATAACTACACAGTGGTCACTAACCATCTTTATTTTGTTTTTTAATGGGACTCTTTAGCTATACATAATTGTGTTAGAATGATTTTAGTTCTTCATCTATTAATATTTAAGGTATTTGATCTGGATACAGTCTAACTTTAGGTGAAAATATTCAGTTCTAAACGAGAGAATCACTTCTGCTGCTCAAAGGACCAGTGGTGACTTGTAGCCACGACCCTATTAGCAGCACAAAGTTACAGTTCTGATAGTTTAACACACAAATTATTACAAGAAACTGGGATTTATAGACTCAACGTTTTGTAATTATTTTTAAACTGGCGGAAATAAAAGTCAATATTTAACATGTTAATTAGTGACCTTTAAAGGTGACAGAAGGCTTTATTCTCTTTTACAGTTCTGATTACTGATTAACCTTTTATTCCTTTTTGATATAGTTTCCTCTACCCAACAAGTCTCTTATGTTTTTGCACTTTGTGTGAATTAAAGAAAATCTAATGAGTGAAAAAAATAAAAGAACAAAAGCAGATGCATAAATTGGAAACTTTTTTTTTCTTCTCTAATTTGGCCCAGACGAGCAGCTTTGTTGTTTAAAACATTAAACCTGCATCATGTGAAATTCAAGTTAAAAATGGCTTCTCCTTCTTTGGTCCTCTCTGCAGGTTCTGGAGCGTCTCTTCCAGAAAGGTTTCAGCGTGGCGGCGTCATGCGGCGGCGGCGTGGACTCGTCCCAGTTCAGCGAGTACGTGTTGTGTCGCGAGGACCGGCGGAGTCTGTCAATCAACACGCCCATCAGGATAAAGCAAGAACCTCTGGACTAGAGATTTCTGGGAGCGGGACTGGCGTCGTCCCCCTCGCCTGTCCTCAACACTCCTCCTATCATTCCATCCCACATCATCCCACCACCACCACCACGACCCCCGCCCAAGGACCACAGCCACCCCCTCCAATATACCTAAGTATTAGCAGAGGCTCGCTAACCTCGCCAGCTCTGCAGAACTCTAAGGGGAATGTAGAACCAAACAAGGAAAAAAAATAAAATAAAAAAGCATCAGCAGCTAAAGCTTTTGATTTACGGTAAAAAAAAAAAATGCCCAAAGAACTTTGGGACTGTGATGACGGCACCTCACAGCTCACTGTTTTTAGCTCCGTTACTTGTAGATTTTTCCACATGGACTTAAGAAAAGGTTGTCGTGAATCTTTTCCAGGGATGAATTAACCCCCCACCACCAACCCCCTCAACCACGGTCTTCCTCACCTCTCTACAACTCTTTCACCTCCATGTCTGCGAGACCCACGTTATTCCTGACTGGTGGGGCCTGCTGTGGTCCAGGAAGCTGTCGTAGACATGATAAGAAGAGGACGCGATGTCATTTTGAGAGTCCCCACTAAAGCCACTGTCCCCCCCACCCTAAAAAAATACCAAGGCCCCCCTCATCACCCTCCACCCCCAACATAACACAGGCCTGGCTATAATGCTCGCCGGACACCGAGACGTTTGTTAAACTGATTGTTCTTTAAGGCTTTTCATTGTTGTTCGGAAACTTATTCTTCTTGCTGTTTTTATCATGACACGGTGTAAACAATTATTATTAATAGGATTATTTTTAATGTCTTTTTTTCCCCTTTTTTTTCCCAAAATGAAGGATGTAAGAACATTGTGTTCATTAGGCTGTGAGAGCTTGCGAGGGAGCGTTTCCTGGCAATAGCTGCAGAAACTCGTGGCTGCAGGCTATGTGGCTAAAGCAATCTGACTGGCAATGAATCCAGAGCCAGAAAAACTCCCATTGTTCAAACGGCGAAATGGAAGAAAACCTGGATGTTTCAACATTGTTTTTAATCAAATGTGCTGTAAACAGAAAAAAAAAAAACAAGCTCAAGGATTTCTGCTTATTCACTCTAAAAACATATCTGGCAATTGGATTCTCTCACAAGAGCACAAAACGTTTTATTTAGCACAAGTTTTTGTCAAGTTGAAATTTCAGGACTAAAATTGCACAATCTGTGAGCGTGTGGCAGTTTTGTTGAGTTAAGAATGTTGAAGACGTTCACCAGGACGTCTCGCGATCGACAAGACTTTAAAAGCCTAAAGTTTCTTTGCACTTACGTTTTCCCACAAAGCTGCCGTCTTTTCTTGCAACGCTCGTTTGAACCCAGGGAGCAGCGCCAAATCCAGCTGTTTTTATTTTTGTTTTTGTAGCCTAGACTGTGAGATTAAAGTATTAAAACCGAAGAGGAATAAAAAAAAGAACCATCATCAAAAAGAACAAACTTTTAAGGCACTGAAGTAGATAAGGTGTCTGTTTTGTTGATTGTATAAAGTCAAAAACATTCTTATTGCAGTTAAAAGCAAAACAAAGTCACAACACATTCTTCAGAGCAGTATGAAGGACACGGTTTGATCCTCTGGACCACCAGACTTGACAGTTTTGTTGAGAGCAGCTCACAGTACCGTCAGACCATGTTTGAGTGACAAATGGTTCAATATAGTCACTTCTAAGCCATGATTATATCAGACACACACACACACACACACACACACACACACACACACACACACACACACGTAGGATCGAACCCAAAGTGTTCTCAGCGTCAGCATGTTGGAGGCGAGTGGGTGGCATTTTACTTTGTCCTGCTCCCGTTCTTTTGCTCGTGTTCTCAACATTTCTGGATCAAAGACAGAAACAAGAAAGGCCAAGTTTTCTCGCTTGTTTTGTTTATTTTTTATTTGTGTGTAACTTACACATGCTGTTTCTTCCATTCCAAAACGCTGAGGAGAAAAAGCACGCGGCTTATTCTGATCTTTGTGGGCGCTGGCAGTTGCTCGAGTTAAACCGGGGCTTTTAGTACTTCATTAAACTCGGACTGTAGCTGTTATGTTGTCCTGACAGAGTGTGCGCTCTCTTTATGAATCCTGCTGGTTTAGCAGGACCAGTGAGTGGATAAACATGGGCTTTTTTTTT